TGCCTTCAACCTCTTCTGATTTGCAAGCTACTCTTATATAGCTAAGAATTTGATATTAAAAATAGGCACAGGCCTTCAAACACACAGTTTAGATTTAGTTTCCATGTTTTCTTTCATGCTTATTCACAGAAATATTGACTGACTGATTGATTATAGACAGAGTCTCACTCTGTCGCCCAGGGTGAAGTGCACTGATGCAATCATGGCTTACTGTAGACTCAACCTCCTGAGCTGAAGCAATCCTCCTACCTCAGTCTCCTGAGTAGAGTTGGGACCACAGGTGTGTGCCACCACACCTGGCTAATTTAACAACAAATTTATTCGTAAAGATGGAGTCTCACTGTGTTGCCCAGGCTGGTCTTGAACTCCCTGGGCTCAAGCAATCCTCTCACCTCCCAAAGTTCTGGTATTACAGGCCTGAGCTACCACACCTAGTCTAGAAATATTAATTTAATAAAATAAATATCAGTGGGTAGTACCAATCCATAATTCGTACTATCTTGATTCCTGTGGCAATTAAAAAACAAAGATGGCAATACAACTTGTAGACCATTGAACACATTCATTTTTCACAATTACTTGTTTTTTTCAAGTGTTGGTTGCAAGAACCATAAGCAGGTAAAGAGTTCTATACTTCGGGAAAAGACTTCCACTTTGGGATTGAGAGGGTTTTAAAAACAAAACAAAGTTTTTCTCCAAGTGCATGGTCTGTCATTTTCTTGATCAGATTTAAGAAGCCCTGGGACATCTTTTGACATTTTCTCCAATGCATCCGTGGAATCAAAGACCTTTTCAACTTGTTTGCGGGTAGATTTTTTTGGTCTAAAGTTGGAAAATATGTCTTCTTTCAACAGAACAGTGGATGTATGCACACGCACGTATTTTTCAACGTTTATGCCTACAAATACTATGCACATTCAAGACATTGGCAACAGTGGTGTCACCACAGTGGGGTACAGGTGGTTGGGATAGTTCCTTTTCACTGTACACCTGTAGCATATGCCACAGGTTAGCTGTCAACTCCCGTTCCAATCCATGTTTTCTTTTGCCTTTTTCAGTGTGGATCAAAAAAGCTGAAAATCTTACCTTCCAAGATTCCCTTGTGGCCAGGCATGGGCATGCGATGTCAGCAGAAAATCTCTGTTTCTTCTTCGATCTTTGGCCTTCCCTCTTCCCTTATCCTGGAATGCCAACATGATACTTGGAGGTCCAGCAGGCTCGAAAACAAAATTCACACATTAAGGGCAGCAAAGCAGGAGAAAACTGGTTCCTTAAGTAGCTTCCAAGTCTTATTTTACTTTGAAATCCTAGTTGTGAGAAAAATAGTTCTCCCAACACATTGAATGTTTTTGCTTATAAGAGGAGATGCAAAATTGAAAGTGATCCTAACATTTGGTCTTTTTTTTTTTTTTTTTTTTTTTTTTTGCTTTTCAAAGTTTAGACCAAGTGCATATACAGTATTACCTATTTAAAACATAATAACATTCTAAAAACGTAAAATGTAAAGGTATATATAAATCTTTATTAGTTGCATTTTTTAAAGTTTTTGAATAGTTAAAAAAAAAACCTTTATTTGGCTTTTTTATGACCTAAATCTTTAGGTTATCAAAAATTATTTTAGTCTTTATCTTGACAAAGTAGTATGAGATAATATGCAGTGGTAGAGAAATGTAGCTTTTACGCCTGAAAGCAAAGATACCACCTGGGCCAACAACCAGTTGAGCTGGTGACATGCAAGAAAGCCCTGTCGCCACCTGAATTCCTCTGTCGGAAGAGCTACATTTGTTTTATTTTACAATCTTTGGGTGTCAGATGTAAGACAACCGCCCTGGAGTGTGAACTCTGGAGATACAAACTTATCAGACAATTTCTATTTCATTCAAGATGGCATAACTTTCATATACCAGCATCTGAAATTGTCTTGAGTTACTGACAAGTAATGTGTAGGAGCATTCACTTGGGAGCTGAGATTTTTATTTTGAGCTGTTTGAAACAGTGCCCCCCAGTGGTATGCAATAGGAAAAAATCATAAGACTAAATATCCTCATCGTTAATTGCAAACAGCACCCATTCCTGCCAGAATGAGCCAAAAAAGAGGCTAAGCGTAGTGGCTCACATATGTAATCCCAGCACTTTGGCAAGCTGATGTGGGAGGACTGCTTGAGCCCAGAAGTTGCAGATCAGCCTGGGCAACATAATTTGACTCTGTATCTACAAATTAATAATAATAAGAATAATAATAAATAGTTGGGCTTGGTGGTGCACACCTGTGGTCCCAGCTACTTAGGAGGCTGAGGAAGGAAGATTGCTTGAGGCTGGAGGATTCCTTAAGCCCAGAAGGTTGAGGTTGCCATGAGTTCTGATGGCACCACTGTACTCCAGCCTGGGTGACAGAATGAGACCCTATTTATAATAACAATAATAATAATGATAAAGAATAAATAGAAAAAGTATACGTTAAGGACGTGATTTGCCCCACTACCAGCTCAAAGTGCAAATGGAAAAGCCAACCATTCAAGAAACACCACTGCCCAGTTGAAGTGCATTTCCAAATGTTGTAATCAATATGTGTTGACTATGAATGTGAACAGTGCCCCTGTGAAATTGTGCAATGTACACCTCCACCACCCATATGTAGCCCTGGATATTAAGTGGCTCAAATTATTTCTGGAAAGGTGTAAGAATCAAGCTAAGAAGCCACACAGTTATCAACCATTCCCAAAATTATATTGCAGGTTTGCTCTATGGGAGACCTAGAGTTACTGCTGCTTGGCACAGACACTACATACGACTGATGAAGTCTGGGCCATTTACGTACATCCTAGCTGCAAGAGATGCTGGGGAAGCAAGTTCTTGGAGTCAACTTGAGGAGGTGCTGACTCACGAAGTTGGAAATCCCTAAATTTGGGAAGGTACTTGTGATGGTGAATTTTCATGTGTCAACTTGACTGGGCTAATGGATGCCCAGCTAGCTCTTAAACATTATTTCTGGATGTGTCTGTGAGGATGTTTCTAGAAGAGACTGGCATTTGAATCAGTAGGCTGAGCAAAGACTATTATCTTCACCAGTGTGAGTGGGGTGGGCATCATCCAATCTGTTGCCGGCCTGAATAGAGCAAAAAGACAGAGGAAGGACAAATGTGTTTTCTGCTTGAGCTAGGCCAATCAGCTTCTCCTGTCCTTGGACCTCAGCACTCTTGGTTCTTAGGTCTCTGGACTCAGACTGGGACTTAAGTCATTGGCTCCCCTGCTCTCGGGCCTTCAGGCTTGGACTGGATTACACCATTGGCTTTCCTGGGCCCCCAGATTGCAGACAGCAGATCGTGGGACTTCTCAGCCTTCATAATCGCATGAGCCAATCTCTCATAATCTCCATCTCTCCCCCACCCTCTCTCTATACATATGTATATATCAAATCTGTTGGTTTTGTTTCTCTCAAGACCCTTGACTAATGCAGGGTTCAAAGGCTTTGGGGATCATCCTAAAAGCCAGACAAATGACAAGTGTCCACCAGAGCTTGCAAATACTGTGTTTACCAGTCTCTTCTCTTCTTGGCATAGCTTCTTTCAAATTTCTTAGTGTCCTCTTCCCATTATTACAAACTTCTCGTTTCTCCTAAGGTCCTTCTAAATTGGTGAGTTCTCACTGAGAGTCGAGTGATGGTTTCCCTCAGCGTGACTATCACTGCCCAGTGTCATTGATATATTAGACAACTCCCCATCCCTACTTCCTCCCAGCTCCTGGTAACTGTCATTCTTTCTGTCTCTGTGAATTGACTACTCTAGATTCCCCATGTAAATGGAATCATACGTCTTTTTTGTGACTAGCTTATCTCACTTAACATAATATCCTCAAGGTTCATCCATGTTGTAGCATGTGCTAAAATTTCCTCCCTTTTAAGGCTGAATAGTATTCCATTGTACATACATAACTGCATTTTGCTTTTCCATTTATACAAAGAGAGACCCTTGGGTTGCTGCCGCCTCTTGGCTATTGTGTATAATGCTGCTACCAACATGGGGTACAAATATGAGAAGCGAGGTTTAGGATCCTGCCTGGAGGATGGCTTGTAGAGGGGAAATAATGAAATAGGACGATCAGATGAGCTCACTGTCATATTTTAAGACGGCTCAAATGTCACCTGGTTTTAGAAGTCTTCCTGGTCTCGGCAGGCAGGCAGCGTCTCTTTCCTAAATCCACCACGTTCCCATAGGCAGGCACTGCATTTATGCATATCTCCTTCCCACAGACAGTGAGCTCCTTGGGGGTCCCCTGGCAGCGTCCAGCCCTGCACCACGGTAACCCTTCCGGAGAGGAAATGGGGTCTTGGGAGAGCCTTTGAAGCCTGTGTTGGTGCACGCCGTCCTTCCAGCTAACCGGGCTCTCTGGGGAATGTGTGTTTGACTTTCCTTTCCTGGTAATATAAGTTCAAATGTCTGTGGATATTTGAAGCTAGGATGAAAGCGTTTCTATTCATGCCCCTAGAATCTGTGAGGCCTTTTCTTTCTTTATTTTTTGTTTTTTAAACCAAGAGCCCACAGCAAAACTTGGGTTACTCGTCTGAGGAAAGGAATGTAGAGCGAGGAGCAGGGTTTCACCTTCAGCCCCAGGCGGGCGAAGCAGGGGAGGAAGGGAAGGCAGAGTACAGGGCTCCCCATCCCGGGCCTGGGGCGCAGGCCCCCTGGGGTGGGCGAGAGAGCGGAGGGCAGGGCAGGCTGCGGCCGCGGATGGGTGCGCCCCGCTCCGGTGTGACCGGGAGGACGGAGGCTGCGACGACAGCCGAGCCCACCCAGCTGCAGCCGGCTCCGGGCGCAGGGCAGGGGCAGGAGGTGACCACCACGCCGCTGGCCGCCTCGCCCGGACATTCCGTTTCTGCCGCTGGAATGCGCGGACAAGGCTCCTTGTTGGCCTTGGGCGGGGTTCCCCAGGCCCGCCTGGCGCTCAAGGCCCCGGGGCGTGGCGGGGCGGGCGGGGCCCGAGGCCGCGGGACCTTTAAATTGGCGCCTGGCGTGGGCTCCCGACCCCCGACGGACACCGCCAGGCCCGCCGAGCCCACCATGCCGCGCCCGGCCCCCGCGCGCCGCCTCCCGGGGTTCCTCCTGCTGCTCTGGCCGCTGCTGCTGCTGCTGCTGCTGCTGCCGCCCCCCGCCGCCCCCGACCCCGTGGCCCGCCCGGGCTTCCGGAGGCTGGGGACCCGCGGCCCCGGGGGCAGCCCTGGACGCCGCCCCTCTCTTGCGGCTCCGGACGGCTCGCCCTCTTCAGGGGCAGGCGAGCCCGGCCGCGCCCGCGGCGCAGGTACAGACTGGCGGCGGGAGGGACGCGTGAGCATCTGCGCAGGAGGCGCGGCCCCGGGCATCCCCCGGGCACTCGGCAGCCGGCCTCAGGGAGACCGGGGAGCGGGAGAAAGAGGCCCCTCCGCGGCTGAATCCCATGGGGGAAGCTGAGGTTCAGAGAAGGGGAGGGAGATGCCCAGCATCACTCGTGTCCAGCCTAGAAATGTGGGTCTCCTGAAGCTCTAACTCACGCAGCCTCCCCTGTGATTTGGCCCGAAGCACAGGGCAGCTGGGGAGCGCAGGGGCTGTCGCCCAGCTCCGTCCCAATCCTGACCTCAGCAAACCCTTTCTGAGATTCTGCTGTTAGTTCTCTTTGAATCCCTCCGTCTCCAACCAATAACAGGGCGTGATCCTTCCTCCCCTCCCACAGTCCTCAGGCTGCCTCACACTGGAAGTCAGGGATGGGGATGTGAGACCAGGAGACCCGAAAAGCCGCAGGTTACCCCAAGACCAAGACAGTCTGGGTCTTTGGCGAACAATTCTTTTTGGTCAGTGGTTGATTCCGGAACCAGAGCAAAGCTTCTAGTGCTGCGAAGTGGGCAGGTCGTCCGACACAGCCCCTGACAGTATATGCGGGGAAACTGAGGCGTATCAATTTGAAGGGACTCTGTGAATCAGTTTCAGAACCCACCGTAAAATTGAGGGCTCCGAAATCCCAAGCAAAGCTCTTTGCACTGCCCCTGCCTACTAACCTCTTAATAGGGTTTGCATAAGATTGTATCTTTATTTCCAAAAACCCCAGCTCCAGTCTTGCTAGAGAGTCTGTGCCAGACCATTTTTGGGTATGCAGTCTCATATGGCCAGCCAGGCTGCATGCCTCAGGCTGATTTGCATGGTCTGACCCCTTCTGCACCTTTCTGGATAAGCTGAGAAGGAGCTCAGGGGACTCTTTCCTGACTGAAATACTCAGTTCCAGTATTTGAAGTGGCAGATTTGAAATGGCGGAAGCATTGCTGCTGAGACAGGAGGTGCCAGGATCCACAGGGTTAGATCCAGCTGGTAGCTGGTTGCTCCAGTGGGGGAATTGAGGGAAAGCCTTTTTTCTAGAAGTTAACCTTGCTCTAGTCCTGACCAGCCTCCCTCTGGGATGGGACTGGAAGAGGAAAGAGAGATTCAACACCAGGTGGCCATGTTCCCCAAAGCTGCGCTGGTCTTTTATTACCTGGTGTCTGAACCTGATCATGAATGGTAATATCTTAATAAATGCCAGATTCCACCCTTTTCCAAATTCTCTCCTTTTAGCAACCAGAAATTGCTAAGCTTTGCTATGGGCTTTTATTTCTAGCAGGACTATAAGGACTTGACAGTATTGTGAGTCTGGTAATATTTTAAGAGATTCGGATTCTTTGTTCTTGGGAATCACATTGCTGTTATCTAGTAAATGGGAGTGAGATTCAAAAACAACTAATGATTGATGCTGAGTGAGTACCAATCAGGAAGGAACCAGATGTTCACAGAATTTTCTGCCACCCTGATCAAGCCTCAGGTATTAGTTTTCTGTGGCCACTGTAACAAATCACTATGAATTTTGTGGCTTAAAACAACGCACATTTATTATCTGAGAGTTCTGTGAGTCAGAAGTCTGACACTGGTCTCAGTAGGGTAAAATTAAGGCATCAGCAGGACTACGTTCTTCTCGGGAGCCTCTAGGGGAGAATCCATTTCCCTTCCCTTCTCTTCCCAGTGCGTGAAGGCTGCGGAGTTCCTTTGCTTATGGCCCTTTTCCTCCATCTTCAGAGCCAGCTAAAGCAGGTTGAGGCATTTTCACCTTGAGTTACTCACATTTCTTTCCTCTGCTTCCCTATTCTACTTCATAATTACATTGACTGACTAAATAATCCAGGATAACCTCTCACATGGAGGTCTTTAACTTAATCACACCTGCAAAGTCTCTGTCCTTGGCCACATAAAAGTAGCATGTTTCTGTAATTAGGACATATGTCTTTCAGGGGGGCATAATTCTGCATATCATGCTCTAAATAGAGGATTTGGTGTGAATAACCAAGTGGAGAAGGAAGGAATCATACATGTCTAGTTACAAGAACGTAGCCATGATATTTATAAGGACACCACTTGGGGGCTGGTGAAAGAACTGTCAATTACAGAGTTCATATCTTCATGTTGCCACCCCGCCTTTCTTTTTCTAATTATACAAAAATACTCTGACCCATCTCCAGGAAGGATTTTCAACATAATTCTTCTTAGTTCTAGATCTATAGGACTTTCCAGGAATGAAGTAAAATTCTGGAGGTTTTTTTTTTTTTTTTTTTTTTAAGAGATTATTCTGAGCCAAATATGAGTGACCATGGTCCTCTCAAGAAGACCTGAGAACATGTGCCCGAAGTGGTCAGGGTGCAGCTTGGTTTTATACAATTTAAGGAGGCATGAGACATCAATCAAATACATTTAAGAAATACATTGGTTTGGTCCAGAAAGGTAGGACAACTCAAAGCTGGTGGTGGTGGGACTTCCAGGCTATAAGAAAATTTAAACATTTTCTGGTTGATGGTTGAGTTTGTCTAAAGACTTGGGATCCATAGAAAGGAAATGTTCAGGTTAAGATAAAAGATTGTAGACACCAAGGTTCTTTTGAAGCATTATAGTGGCTAACCTTAGAGACAATTGATGACAAATGTTTGCTATTCAGATCTTTTTTATTTTTATTTTTATTTTTATTTTTGAGATGGAGTTTCGCCCTTGTTACCCAGGCTGGAGTGCAATGGCGCGATCTCAGCTCACCGCAACCTCCGCCTCCTGGGCTCAGGCAATTCTCCTGCCTCAGCCTCCTGAGTAGCTGGGATTACAGGCACGTGCCACCATGCCCAGCTAATTTTTTTTGCACTTTTTAGTAGAGACGGGGTTTCACCATGTTGACCAGGATGGTCTCGATCTCTCGACCTCGTGATCCACCCGCCTCGGCCTCCCAAAGTGCTGGGATTACAGGCTTGAGCCACCGCGCCCGGCCTCTTTTTTATTTTTTTAACTTTAAGTTCTGGGATACACGTGTAGAACCAGCAGGTTTGTTATATAGGTATACATGTGCTGTGGTGTTTTGCTGTACCCATCAACCTATCATCTAGGTTTTAAGCCTCACATGCATTAGGTATTTGTCCTAATGCTCTCCCCTTCTTGGCCCCCATCCCTGGACAGGTCCTGGTATGTGATATTCCCCTCCCTGTGTCCATGTGTTCTCATTGTTCAGTTCCCACTTATGAGTGAGAACATGTGGTGTCTGGTTTTCTGTTCCTGTGTTAGTTTGCTCAGAATGATGGCTTCCAGCTTCATCTATGCCCCAAAGGACATGAACTCATGCTTTTTTATGGCTGCTGGAGTTGGTTTTTTTAAATAAAGAAAAAACTCTAATTAATTCCTTTTTTTTTTTTTTTTTTTTTTTTTTTGCTTTTAGAGACAGGATCTCATTCTGTTGTCCAGGCTGGAGTGCAGTAGTGTGATTGTGGCTCACTTCAGCCTTGACTCTCTGGCTTTAAGCGATCCTCCCACCTCAGCCCCCTAAGTAGCCGGAACTACAGGTGCCTGCCACCATGCCTGGCTAATTTTAAAATTTTTTGTAGAGATGAGGTCTCCCTCTGTTGCCCAGGCTGGTCTAGAACTCCTGAGCTCAAGTGATCCTTCTCCCTCAGGCTCCCAAAGTATTGGGATTACAGGTGTGAGCCACTGTGCCTGGCTTTAATTCCTTTTGACTTAACTAAATACATGACATACAGCATATTTCAGGGTGGTGGCTCAACGTCAACATGCAGGATATTTACTAAATACATGAGAGAATATTGATTTTTGTGGAGGAAAATGTCTCAGAGAGAAGTGACTGGGATTCAGTAGCAAGCCCCCAGGGGCTGGGAGTCTGGAAGCCTGGAGTCCAATCCATGCTCTACCACTTTCTAGTTTCACACCTCCTTGAACCTCAGGTCTCTCACCTGTAAAATGGGTATAAAAACGACCTCTGCATCTCCAGCTTCACAGCGTTGATGTGTTGGTAACTTGTGATTCCTAAAGCGTTACTGAAAGGAAAAATTTTATTTTTCTTAAATACCTCCAAACAACAGGCTAGAAACAAGAAGATAATTTTCAGCTTTTAAAAGAAAACTAGCCAGAGACAGATAAAGTAGACTGTTCCAGGTAAGGCTTTTTTTCTATAAACTGCTTAGTCTAGACATTAATTTTGAATCTACCTTTTTTCCTACCCACTAAGTGAATTACCTTCTTAGAGTAATCAACTTCTGCCTCCTTGTTAGGAAAGAAAAGAACCCCGAGTGGCACTTCATGCCCCAGGACCTCACTTCCATTTAGGCCGCATGCGTGTAATGCCTGTATGCGTATGCATATGTGTTGGGTGAGAAGGGGAAAAAAAGGCTTGAAAAAGAAGTTTAGGGCTGGGCACAGTGGCCTCATACCTGTAATTCCAGCACTTCAGGAGGCCAGAGTGGGCAGATCACCTGAGGTCAGGAGTTAAAGACCAGCCTGGCCAACATGGTGAAAGCCCGTCTCTACTAAAAATACAAAAATTAGCTGGATGTGGTGGCGTGTGCCTGTAATCCCAGCTACTCAGGAGGCTGAGGCAGGAGAATTGCTTGAACTCAGGAGACAGAGACTGCAGTGAGCCGAGATTGCACCACTGCACTGCAGCCCGGGCGACAGAGTGAGACTCCATCTCAAAAAAAAAAAAAAAAAGAAAAAGAAGTTTAATGATTGGCTTTTTTTTCATCTCATCCTGAACTGTGGATTTAATTTTTGTATTGAGGAGAGAGGGTGTGTAAACAGATTGGGAGAAACAGGAAAGAATGGGAAAGAATAGTTGAACACTAAAATGTACTGTGATACTATAGTATGTCAGGTACTTTTGTGTAGAAAAGAGATAAGTTCTTTAAAGGTGGGGGATCTGGTTTATTCGTTTTTGTAGCTCCAGGCCCTCAAAAAATGTTTTTGATGAATGAATAAGTGAAAGAGAGATGACCAAGAGAGTTTGATGGCACAGCAGGGTAGATAACGGATCACAGTCCCTGCTTCTTATGAGACATGCTGATGAACTTGGAAGTGGACTAGACAGATTCAAGATTAACTTGGCATCCCTCTTTCTACTTTTAATTAGCTCTGGGCTCTAGTGGGCCCCCAAATCCACTAAACAGAAATGATGGCCAGATAGAGGGAGGATTCAGGGATTCTGGAGCAGTTTTCACCCCCTTGGAAGTGTAGTACAAGAAAGGGGTCACTAGAAGAGCCCCTGAGTGCCTTGCCTCAGACTGCCATTCCCTGAGGCCTGGGCACAGTGGTTTGCAGTGGGGCTGTCCCTGAGGGTCCAAAGCCTTTTACGTGGTTCAGGGGTACATTTTTCCAGTTGCTCCAGATAGCCAAGGTGCTTAAGAAAGGTCTAGAATCCATTAATTCCCAGCAATCTTGAGGGCCCTTGGGAGCAAAAGCTCAAGCAGAGGGATGAGGTTCTAAGTGAAATTTCCGGGTTCAGCCAGCCTGCAGGTGAGGTATTTGGGGAAACTTCACATCTCTAGGTGAATTCTCACTAGGGAGTTCTGAAGTCCTTGGTGCTTTCAACACCGAAAGGGAAGATGGTCTTGGAGAAGGCCACAAGCGTGGTGATGTTGGGGTCAGGAGATGCTGCCTTGCCTTGCCTCCTGGAATCCCAGAGTTCTCTGGAAGTGACGATTATTGCATTTCTAACTGTGGTCTGATCATTGCTTGGTCTTTTGCAGGTGTTTGCAAGAGCAGGCCCTTGGACCTGGTGTTTATCATTGATAGCTCTCGTAGCGTACGACCCCTGGAATTCACCAAAGTGAAAACTTTCGTCTCCCGGATAATTGACACTCTGGACATCGGGCCGGCCGACACGAGGGTGGCAGTAGTGAACTATGCTAGCACCGTGAAGATTGAGTTCCAACTCCAGGCCTACACAGATAAGCAATCCCTGAAGCAGGCTGTGGGTCGAATCACACCCTTGTCAACAGGCACTATGTCAGGCCTGGCCATTCAGACAGCAATGGATGAAGCCTTCACAGTGGAGGCAGGTGCTCGAGGGCCCTCTTCTAACATTCCTAAGGTGGCCATTATTGTCACAGATGGGAGGCCCCAGGACCAGGTGAATGAGGTGGCGGCTCGGGCCCGAGCATCTGGTATTGAGCTCTATGCTGTGGGTGTGGACCGGGCAGACATGGAGTCCCTCAAGATGATGGCCAGTGAGCCCCTGGAGGAGCATGTTTTCTATGTGGAGACCTATGGGGTCATTGAGAAATTGTCCTCTAGATTCCAGGAAACCTTTTGTGGTAAGTTGGTCAGTCTTTGCTTCCAAATAGAAAGGATGTTATATTCAGATATTATATATCCAGAGAAAATAGTTTTATTTTCTTTTTTGGTGGAAATTTAATGAAAAACTTAAATATATCCAGTGTGTGTGTATGTGTGTGTGTGTGTGTGTGCATGCATACATGCACACGTGTGACCAACCTAAGCACACTATGTTGGTTTAGGAATATAGAGCTGTATTATATGGAACTTGGTTTCCTCATAAAATCTTCGTGTTTGCATTAGAACTGTGAAGGTCTGCAAACATCCAGGATAAATGACCCCGCTGTTCCCTGTAAGGATAAGGAAAAACAAAACTCAAGATGCCTCTCCTGCCCTCTCTGCCCCACCACTACATTTTTTCCCCCTGATACATGTTTTTTTAATTTTACCATCTCTAGATCTAACAGAACTCTGTTTGTTCTCCTGTAGAAGGCAGGGAGCAGCATCTGTCCTTGGAAGAGTCAGCAGGCCTCGATTCCAACGTCACCATCAGCCTGAGTCTGCAGTTAGTGAATGCTCTTGCTTTCATATTGGGCCCTTTATCTGATTACTCTTTGTTGAACAACAAGATTCAGGGACCAGGCAGATTAGGGTTTCAGTGCACTTGAAGGAAAGCAAGATGATCTTAAGAAATCATTCTGTTACTCTGCTACTCCCTCCATCCTTTAGGACGGAATTTGAATAAGAATATGCTAATTTTATTGGAATTTTTAGCATAAATTGATCAAATCTAGGAATACAGATCCATTTAATGCTGGAGTTTATTTTTACTCACTGGTCAGAATTATGATTTGTGGGACTCATGATTTATTTTTTAGCATCTGGAAATAATCTTTTGATGCCTGTATGTGAATATCCAAGCAGTTGTGGACAAATTTCTAGTTCAGGCAAATTTTTAAACAGAGATACCTTTTTGCAATATAATTTGTCCCACACATGCATTTGTTGATCTCTGATGGTAAAAAGATAAAAGTAATCCCTCCCTACCATTAGGTAACATTCTGGGGGTGGGAGTGAAACAAACAAATGAACCAATAATTGATTACAATTGTAAATTTCAAAGAGACCTTTTATCTAAGTTAATGCGAAACCCAGCCATCAACAGTTTGTGAGGAAAAGGGGGATGAAGTCTTGGTCTGGGCAAAGTTTGGCCTCATTACAGCCAAACTTGGCTGGGCTCCCCTTGTCTTTCCTGTCCCAGGACACTAGGCTTTCACAAGCCATCACTGGCTTTGGTGGCATCTACTTGGCATTAATTGGCTTCCAAAAAGAAAGTGGCTTTCTTTCTCCCAGGAAATCACCCTCCCACTCCATGCTTGTGGGTGAGAGCTTTTCCATCAACATGCTGGTCTGTGGCAAAGTTGGGTTTCAAAGCTAGCACCTGGGGTTGGGCTTTGAAGGCTATAAAGTAACAAGTGGTGAGTGGCAATCTTTTCCTTCTGGTACAAAAGATCTGCTTGTTCTGGGAGAAAAATGTCCTCTCTATGGAAAAAAGACTGAGGGGCAGCTTGTTGTAGTCAACTGCTTGGAAAAGATCATTGCATGAAAAGGCCCTTCTTGGGAAAATATTAGCCTTGTCCTGTTGCCAAGGGCAGTAGAGGCTGGGTTACCTGCCATAGGAGGGCCAGCCTCCTCCAACAGGCCTCCTTGGTTTCTCAGAAATGACTTAATTCATTGATTCATCTTTCAAAACAGGCCACTAGGAAAAAAATATCTAATGAGACATAAATCGCTCCAGGAGCAAAAAGATGGAGAAGTTGTTTAGCTAATGTAATCTCGTTTATTTTGATCTTCTTTTTCTTTTTCCCTGTCTGTATTAGCATATGAGTTCATTATGGATTTAGCGTATGGATGAGTTCACCCATCCTACATAGTCAGAAAACAGTTACCCGAATTGCCCTCTACCATATGTACCACTGCACACCTGTGAATTCGTTCTAGGCTTAGACCTATGCTTGTGTGAGAATTCTGTTTAGACATAGACTATAGAACTCTTGGAAATCAGATTCTGGCTACAGCGGGACAACTAGCTCGTAGCACTGCAGGCCGTGCATTATTGTTCTCTCATTTCTTGTGGTGGGGAAGCACAACTTTTTCTTCACAGGGAGGTGGATAAGCCAAATAAAACATCAATTGCCTGGCCTGTGTCAGTGTTTGGCTTCAGTTACAAATTTCAAATTCCCTTTCTCCTTTGAGAAAGTCTATATAGCAAGAAGTGTACTTTTGAATTAGTAACATTTCTAGTTTAAGAGTAGCATTGCTAATAAGCCAGAGGCAGAAAACAGCTACTTTTATAGTGAAGTAAAGAGAGCCTGGGAAAGGAACCTGGAGAGCAATGTCTATTTGACCTGGGAGAAAGTATCTGAGATGTTTCCTGAGTGTCAGTGCCGACCGTTGTCAACTTCCTCTGCACAGCGCTGGACCCCTGTGTGCTTGGAACACATCAGTGCCAGCACGTCTGCATCAGTGACGGGGAAGGCAGGCACCACTGCGAGTGTAGCCAAGGATACACCTTGAATGCCGACAAGAAAACATGTTCAGGTGAGGCCTGCGTAGGGGGCCGTGACTGAATCAAATTACTGGGGAACCTATGCTCCAGGCTTTGGACTGACCTTGTGCTTTGACTCTCTGACCCCTTTTTACTTAACTGCCTTTTGCCTGGTTTACTGTTGTTCATCAGCAGTTTTCCCTGAAAAGGAGCTTAGGGAGGAAAGCGAAATGATACATAAATCAGGTTATTTCCATACCTTTTAAGTTTTAAATAAAATCATAGGAGAAAAGGCTACTAAGAAAGAGGTCCAGGCTGAGTGCCGTAGCTCATGCCTATAATTCCCACATTTGGGGAGGCTGAGATGGTAGGACAGTTTGAGGCCTAATTCGAGATTAGCCTGGACAACACAGCAAGACCCCATCTCTACAAAAATTAATTTTAAAAAATTAGCCAGGCATGGTGGTGCATGCCTGTAGTCCCAGCTACTTGGGAGGCTGAGGCAGGAGGATTGTTTGAGACCAGGAGGTCAAGGCTGCAGTGAGCTATGATAATGCCACTGCATGACAGAGGGAGACCCTGTCTCATAAAAAACAAAAACAAAAAAAGAAAGGGGGAAAAGAAAAGGTCCAAGATTCTTAGTCCTTTTGAGGATTTGGAATTTTTCCTGGGTTTTATTTAAGTACACACAAGCTACCCTCTTCCTCTCTATAGTCATAGATGCTCATGGAACCTAGAAGAAGTAGGAAAGTTAGAGGGGTACTCACTGGTCTGGTACACAGATACGTACATGGAGTCAATGAGAAATGGGAATTAGATTTTTTTTTTAATCCTAGAAAAAAGTTTTTGAGAGAAAGAAAACTTAAAGATAATTTAATTTTATAGATAATGAAATTGAGATGGACAGAAAGGAGAAAATTTACCCATGTCACAGGGTCTGTCAGTGAAAGAGCCAAGACCAGAGGGTTGGTTCCCAACTCCCAGCCTCCCCTCCCTTGTTTTATTAGCTCTCTCAGTGTGTGTGTGTGTGTGTGTGTGTGTGTGTGTGTGTGTGTGTGTGTAGGTGGCATGGCCCATAATTATTTATTGCTGCCATGCTTTGCATGCATTTACATTTGTCTCAATCATCTTTTGATAGCTCTTGATAAGTGTGCTCTTAACACCCATGGATGTGAGCACGTCTGTGTGAATGACAGAAGTGGCTCTTATCATTGTGAGTGCTATGATGGTTATACCTTGAATGAAGACAGGAAAACTTGTTCAGGTAAGTGAGGGAGAACCTTTCTTATTGCTGCTTGGCTATCTGCCTACCTATGCAGTGATGGAAAAGCAGGTCACACTGACTGGGAAGTAGGTGTGTTTTCCTCTTTTGGCACCTTGAGCTTTTCCCATTTCTAAGTCTTATCCAAAACGTTAGAAATGGTAACATGTCCGTATCTCCGCCCAAACATATAAATGTGTTGCTCATTTCCTTCTCTGTGCCCAGCCTCAACAGTTCTTCCCAAATGCTACAGACAATTTAGTAGGTTGAATCACATAACAACCCACAGGTACTTGTTGCTTACAAAGGGAAAGACAATAACTTTATAGTGGAGAAATTGGCAGACATCGCCTTAACCGAGTGATCAAAGTTCACATCACCAGTGATAACACATAGTGACATTATGAATGACCTGACATGCTGGGCTCAAGACTGTGGACACAACAGCACACCTGTAGTATTCTTGCTAAAAATTCAGGATCACGAGGAAACATTAGAAAAACCCAACCTGAGAGATGTTCTCAGTTCACAAAATAGTTTTCCAGTACTTTTCGGAAGTGTGAAAGTCATAAAAGACAAAGCGCGACTTAGAAAGTGTCCCAGATTGGAGGACACATGAAACTTCATGCAGTGTGTAATTCTGGATTGGGTCCTGGACCAGAAAAAGGGCATTAATGGCAACATTTGAATAATGTCTGTAGATGAGTAAATCATAGTATATCAATGTTAGTTTCTAGTTTGATAATCATACTATGGTTCTGTAAATTACTGTTTGGGGAAACAGGGTGAAGTACAGGAATTTTTGCACTGTTTTTGCAACTTTTTTATAAATCTGAAATTATCTCAAAAGTTTAAAAATAAAAAATAGTTTAAAAATATATCAGTACAGAGGAAAGTGCATTGAATGAAAATTCGTGTCTTGAGTTCTTAACGCTGCTCTGAATCAATTGATCTCCCTTGGGCTCCTTTCTCTCTTAAAAATAGGAGAGGGTTAAACTATAATTTCTTCAAACTCTATTTCTATGTCTTTCTGAATCCAGTATAATTAGTCACACAACTGTTGGTATCCCTCTGAGTTGGGATAAGTATAATAGGCCTAAAAGGAATGCTTTAGAAAGTATTTATGAGATACTTAGGTTGTAAAAACCCAATACTGATGATTTTGAGAAGAAATTGGGGAAAGTCAGAGAATAATTATTGTATGTGCAGGATTTCATTTAACTCAGTTAACTTCTATTTAGAAAAAACAATGCTAATAGCTTTGAATAGTTTCCATTAATTTTTTCTCATATGTTTCTAGCTGCAAATAAGGTTTCTATCCATGGGTAATGAAAAGACTCTTCCACCTTTTATTTCTTTTCTCCTAAATTTTTGTTTCACAGCTCAAGACAAATGTGTTTTGGGTACCCATGGGTGTCAGCACATTTGTGTGAATGAGGGAACAGGTTCCTATCACTGTGAATGCTATGAGGGCTACACTCTGAATGCAGATAAAAAAACATGTTCAGGTAAGATCCACTCAACAAATTCTTTCACACTCGGGTTTTTACAGTGAAACCAACTTGCAACTCATTAGCAAAGAGGTTCTTAAAGGTAACTTAAGGAATCAAGGTTCAGACATGCTACCACACTTTTAGATGAAGGTACACATTGCTCAGAGGGTGGTGAGCTCACTGGAGCAAACATAGATTACTTCAGAAAATTACTGGGAAATAGGTAGGGAGTGGGGAGTGTGAGAAAAGCTAATTAAATGTAGGGTCCTTATCCAGGAAAATTTTATAGTTCTGTACACTGAGCACTTTTAAGCAAAGAGGAAATTTTGATGGAAGTCAGTTGGACAGTAACTATTTGGTGTGATAGGATGAATTGATCTTTTTCCAGTTAAAACTTGGCCTGGAAGTTTTCTGTAGTGTTAATCTTAAAGCTGGATGATTTTAGTAAAGACTTTGTGAATGCCTGAATTAGACCCACACAGACGTTCCAGTAAGTTTGAGGCCAGTCACTCCCTGGCAGTTTCTAGATGATCAATCATCAGTGAAACTAAGCCTTATACATTGGCCAATGAGCCCATGCCAGTGCTGTTAATCCTCATTAATTTGATTTAAACTTGCTGGCAGGACAGGGTGGCATTTATAAATGTAAAAAAACTTCTGAGAGAAATTCCAGGCTCTCAAGGTGGCATTTAGCTTTAGCATACGGAATGTGTTTTAGATTTGATATATATTTTCCTCTCCCTTGAAGAGATATAGACTTCAAGATAAACAAAGGGAAATGGGATGTCACTAAGTCCCCCGCTCCTTTTTTTTTTTTTTTTTTTTTTTTTTTTTTAAAAGAAAACCAATAAAAAGCACTAGGCACCTACTTTGTTCCCAGTATGGCACTAAGCATTGTGAGCATATAACGAAGCATAAGTTTCTGCCTCTGAGTAACTTAAGGCTGGGCGAATTTTTGTTTCATAGCTGAAGACAAATGTGTTTTGGGTACCCATGGGTGTCAGCACATTTGTGTGAATGACGGAACAGGTTCCTATCACTGTGAATGCTATGAGGGCTACACTCTGAATGCAGATAAAAAAACATGTTCAGGTAAGATCCACTCAACAAATTCTTTCATACTTGGGTCTTTTACAGTGAAACCAAGTAGCAACTCACCAGCAGACAGCCAGCTCCTTCTGAAAGCAGAGACTGAGCCAGGGAGAGGACTGATGGACACTAAGGGCTATAGAGGCTGGGGAGGTGGGCATCTGTGAAGGGCTGGTGTTGGGTCTTGAAGGATAGTGAAGGTTTCAATTGAGAGAAGAGCAAAGTGGCACTGGCAGGGGACTGGCTTGAGCTGATTTATTTGTTCAGGGCAGGATGACTAAGAAAGTTGGGTGGAGAGGATTCACCTATGGCTGCACTTCTCAAACTAGTGGCAAGTGTCCCAGTTGGTACCTTAAGCTGCCAGGAACATTGAAGACCTGGACAAACAAACCAAAAACAGATTTCCATTCAGACTAACAGATAGTATGGAATAAATTGAAGCAATTTATTTTTAAAAAACATAGATCAGAGAAAATTTTCAATTAAGGCAGACAATACTCCCAGATGCCAGCAGCCCATATTCTTCAATGCCTACTGTAGGCCATGCAGGATTCTAGGCATTTTAGCTACAGTAATGCCACTTGATACTCACAGAAGCTTTAGGAGGAAACTGATTAAGTAACTTACCCATGGTTACTTGGCTAGTACGTAGCAGAGCCAGGGTTTGAACCCAGGTACTTGCTCTGGTGGTTACATAGGCTCTTAACCCCTAAGCCATACTGTCTTAGCTTGCAAAGCACAGGACAGCAAAGAGGAACAGAAGAGAAAGATGTACTAGTGGGAAAGTTAGTATATATTTGTTTTTTTCTTCTCTTTGTTGAGACAGGGTCTCACTCTGCCACCCAGGCGGGAGTGCAGTGGTGGGATCTTGGCTTCACTGCACCCTCTACCTCCCAGGCTCAAGTGATTCTCCCACCTCAGCCTCCTGAGTAGCTAGGACTTCAGGCACATGCCACCACACCTGGCTAATTTTTGTATTTTTGTAGAGATGGGGTTTTGACATTTTGCCCAGGCTTGTTTCAAACTCTGGAAGTCAAGCGATCTACCTGCCTTGGCTTCCCAAAGTGCTGGGATTACAGGTGTGAGCCACTGTGCCCGGCCTATGTATATATTTTAAAGTAATAGTGAATGGCTAGGCATAGCTGCTGATGCCTATAATCCCAGCACTTTGGGAGGCCGAGGTGAGTGGATCACAAGGTCAAGAGATTGACACTGTCCTGGCCAACATGGTGAAATCCTGTCTCTACTAAAAATAAAAAAATTAGCTGGGTGTGGTGGTGTGTGCCTGTAGTCCCAGCTACTCAGGAGGCTGAGGCAGAATTGCTTCAACCTGGGAGGTGGAGATTGCAGTGAGCCAAGATTGCGCCATGACACTCCAGCCTGGCAACAGAGTGAGACTCCGTCTCAAAAAAAAAAAGGAAAAGAAAAAGAAAAAAAGGAATAGTGAATACTGTTATAAAGGTGGGAAACATACCATGGAGCAGATCCCTTCTAATGGTCTGCTTTTCCCTTGCTAGTGGCAGGAAGGTTTGTAAATTAAATGTAGAGCCCTAGATCAGGGCCAGGGACTGGAAGCATGTCCATTTGTTACCTGTAGAGTGGGTACTAATGTGGAATGCGGCGGAAAAATATGAAACACCCTGCTATAAGGCATTTTGCTGAAAACAAATGTAAATTGTAGCACTGAAAAGGAATAGCTAAGGTTGGAAAGGCACTTTATGTACAGATTATATGGTGCCATGCATTTCACACAATGCTATTCTATAGGCACCAGTGAGCCACAAAAGTTCTGCACATGAAGTGACATTTAAGAGGAAAATTAGAAGGAAATAAAGAACTATTTTGGTTCCGGCAATGGCAGAGGAGGAACCTGTGTCTTCCAGGAAGACTTTCTGGGTTTTAAAGGAGAATTGCTATTTTAGTTGTCCTAGGCCAGTCTGAACATGGGACAAGTATGGCAATTTGCTTTGCTCTCCACTCAAACTTGGGCAAACTGCGTTTGTCCCTGAAATGTTATTTGTTTGTGATGGATAGTAAGTACTTTGCTCTCTGAGCATACACATCATAATTACTAACACGGTATTATTTCCCCATCTGTACTTGTGTGTGTGTGTGCATGTGTCTCCAGGTCAGTGTTTTCTGTTCCACTTTGTAAGCTATGAAGGCAGGCATTTGGTCAATATAGAGCTTTTGGTGCAGCATCAAACTTAGCTCCATTTATGATTAGGTCCCTAAAACATTATTTTTGGTGATGATGATGATGATCCACGAGAAATGGGGATGCTGGAAGCATTGGTGGTCATCGGGAAAGGCTGGAAGTAAGTTCTGGAATAGAGTCAAGACTCAGTGCTGCCCAGTGCTGTGGGTAGAAAAAAAGAATTGGCACCCTTAGATATCTGTGAGAGATAAAAAGGAAAGGAGTGTGTGTGCCATGAGGCCAAAGGGATGAGAGGGATGGGAAGAGAAAACAGGCTTGCTCCTGCAGCAGGGGGCCTGCTGCTGACCACTGATGGGTTGATTGTCAGCACTTGTGGGGACCAAATGGAAGCTGCTTCTCTCACATGTTTTTATTTACTTTTCTATTTAATTAATGTGTGAATATTTTCTTTCCCGCACCACTTGCGGTCAGTCCGTGACAAGTGTGCCCTAGGCTCTCATGGTTGCCAGCACATTTGTGTGAGTGATGGGGCCACATCCTACCACTGTGATTGTTATCCTGGCTACACCTTGAATGAGGACAAGAAAACATGCTCAGGTGAGGACCAGCCCTTTAAGGCGATTTCCTTTGGTTTGAGAATTTTTCAGGAGCAAGCTTTTGTCTTTCTGTCTGAGGCCCAGTTGTGATTCTTTCTCCTTGTCAGAATGCTCCAGTATTCTCCACTGGTCTACAGAATAAAACAGTGATACTCCACCAGGCAGCCTACCCTCCATGATCTCTTTGTCTTCTCTCTCTCTTTTTCACATTTTTCTTTCTAATTAAACTTTCTGCCTAAGTCTGGATTTTTTTGTTGTGGTAAAATATATATAAAATTTACCATTTCAATTATTTTCAAGTGTAGAGTTCAGTGGCATTAAGTACATTTACATTGTTGTGCAACAATCACCACTATCCATCTCCAGAATTTCTTTTATCATCTCAAACCAAAACTCTACCGATGAAACAATAACTGCCCATCACGCACGCCCCCCAGCCTGTGGGAACTACTTGTCTCATCCTGGCTTTTAAAACCTTTCTCTTCTATTTGCCCTCAGAGTCACTGCTTCTGCCCGCGTCCTACGGTCCAGCCACAGTAGGCTGTTTGATGGTCCAGGAGCATGCCCTTCACTCACTTGTTTCCTCTCCCCTCAATGCTTTTGCTTGTCAGGATCCAAGAACCACATTCTTGGTAACATTTGGTTTTGTTGAATTAAATTTTTGCCAATGTAGTGGATTTTTTTCATTTCCCAGTTACTAATGAGGTGAGGCATCTCTTCCTATGCTTATTGGTCACTGAGTTCCATATTTGGAAATGCTATTTATGTTCTTTTTGTATTTTTCAATTGGGTTATTTGTATTTTTCTTACTGATTCATAGGAACTCTTCATATTGTAAGTTATTTTTTGTTTTTACTTATTGTAAATATCTTCTATCATTTTGCTTTTTAAATGATGTCTGTTTAACAGTATTCATAATGTTTTAAGTCTTAAGTTGGGTAGTAGGGTACTAAGACAATTTAATAAGGGGAAGAATAGTCTTTTTCACAAATAATGCTGGGGCACTGGATAGCTACGTTGTATTGAATCTAGAGATCCACTTGGGGAGTACTGCCATTTTAAGAGTCTTTCGTTCCATTAATGTGGTGTGTCCTTTTTTTTTTTTTTCTAGTTCTTCTTTAATTTCTTTCAAAATTATTTTATAGTGTTCAGTGTACAAGTCTTGCACTTTAAAAAATATTTATTTCTAACTATCTTCTTCTTTCTGGTGCTATCATAAACACCATTTCTCCATTTCTCAATTTTCAATTTTGCTACAACCCAGGTCTACAATTTTCTATGAAGTGTTTTAATTAGAATATCCCACTGAGCCCATGCTCTCATAGAACTTAGAGTCTATCAGGCAAGACAGACACTGAACAAGTATTATAAGTACTCATCTTATGGGTACAAGGATGATGGACGTGTAGTTGATATTCAGTAGATAATTCCTGGCTTATTGACTGATTAACTAAGATGGGATTTGGGCTGGCTGTCCCTAAAAGGTTCAATAGGATTTAGACAGGTGGATAGATGATAGATTACAGTTAATGTATTTGTGATCTCCCATCCCTACATTGGATCTTTGTAAAATGTTAGAGTAAAAATATTGCAGCAAAGGACCATTTCCTGTCCTCAGGTAATAGCATTACTCCATAGGAAAATGATACACCAGTCTTCAGACCTGGGAAGTTACTCTTATTTCTATTCAGAACTTTAGGAGGAGCCCTGATACTGAAAATGAATAGTTGCCTCATTGAATTACAGAAAGAAATAGGAGTTACTTTTATCACCTCTCATATTTGATTAAATGTCAATACAAACCTGAATTTTTAGTTCCAAAGTATTTATTGGTAAGAACTAAGACTCTCACTTAAAACATTCAAAAGAATAACAATCCTCTACAGGAAATTAGGATGTAACCTAGTTTTTATCTTTTTTGTTGTTGTTGTTGTTTTGAGATGGAGTTTCACTCTGTCAGCCAGGTTGAAGTGCAGTGGTGCTATCTTAGCTCACTGCAACCTCTTCCTCCAGAATTCAAGCAATTTTCCTGCCTTAGCCGACCAAATAGATAGGATTACAGGTGCATGACACCATGCCCGGCTATTTTTTGTATTTTCGGTAGAAACAGGGTTTTGCTATGTTTTCCAGGCTGGTCTCAAACTCCTGACCTCAAGCAATTCACCCATCTCAGCCTCCCAGAGTGTTGGGATTACAGGCGTGAGCCACTGTGCCCGAGCCTTGTTTTCATCTTTGATATATTTTGGCCACACAAATAGAGGACTATTGTCCTAGTTTTATTTATTTACTTTTAATAGACAGGGTTTTACTCTGTTATCCAGGCTGGAGTGCAGTGGTGTGATTGTGGCTCACTGCAGCCTTGAACTCCTGGACTCAAGTAATTCTCCCATCTTAGCCTTTCAAGTAGCTAGGGTTACAGGTGTGTGCCACTATGCTTGGCTAATTATTTTACTTTTTTGTAGACAGGGCCTTGCTTTGTTGCCCAGGGTGGTCTCAAACTTGGCTTCAAGCAATCCTTCTGCCTTAGCCTCCAAAAGTGCTGTCATTATAGGAATAAGCCACTGTACCAGGCCCATTTTCATTTCTTAATTACATAGCATCACATGAACACTGTCTTATCTCTATATCCTTGCCCCCCCATATCAACCATTTTTTCAAAATTTACTTTATATCATGAATAATTTCTGGCAATCACAAAAATACAGGAAAGAAAATCATGAACCCTCATTTAAGCATCACTTAGCTTGACAATTATAAACATTTTTGCCGTTGTCTCCTAAGATAAATTTTTCTGTGATAATAAGTATTTTCTCATCTTTTTGCTATTTCCTCATCTTTTGTTTGTTCATATATTCCTTTACCTCTTGGAAAATGCACTTTGGTAAGTCTTAATGGTGGAAATATTTGATTGCGGACTTCCTGATTTGTTATGATTCCTAGATAGCTATTCCTACATAGTATATTTGTGTACTGTCATTGTCTTCAGTGATTGAGGAAGCACGAAGACTCGTTTCCACTGAAGATGCTTGTAGATGTGAAGCTACGTTGGCATTCCAAGATAAGGTCAGCTCGTATCTTCAGAGACTGAACACTAAACATATCCTTTCTGGAAGGTTTTATGCTTCTACCTGGAGACAACCTAGGTACTACAATTGAGCCAAACACTTTAAGACATTCCACAGGCAAGTGACTGGTTTGTTAAGGTTTAATATGAGCAGTAGTAATACACAACTTAAGAAAATTTAGAGTTCTTTTCTCATGGTTTAATAGACTGTTTCACTCATTCAATATTTACACATAAAAGCTGCCTATTTCATTCTCTAGTGCTTTTCCATAACTGTATATGCTCCTAATGATGCTCTTACATAACAGATAGAACATTTATGCTAATGATTCCTTAATATGGCTTAGTTCAGAATCTGTACATGTACAAAGCAAGTCAACTGATGAATGGGGTGTGATATCTCAGATTACACACAGTTGTACACTTTGACTAGCCAAGTGGTCAAAAAGCAGATTTTAAAATGTAACACGATACAACCTCAGAAACATTCAAAATCAGTTCTTTCTCCAAAGGAGTAACTCCAGAAAAGTTTATCAGAACAGTTCAAGTTAACAACTCTGTTCCTATGTACCTCAGAGGAGTGGAATTCAGATTGTGGTAATCTAGGCATATGTAGAGACTTTTAAGGGAGGTACAGATAATTTCAAAGAATCAATTTACAAATCTTTCACTTGCTTAAGATGCTACTTGGAATTAGTTGGCATTTTCTTTTCTCATCTCTCATTTCGGCATCACCATTCTCCTAACTTTACATAAGAAAGGCATATTTCTCACTTACCCTAGATCTACTCAGGTGCATTTCTTAGAAAAGTAGCATCTTGAGAGAGCCAAACAAAGGGACAATCCAACAATCCCTTTAACCAAGACTTCATAAACATTGCTTCTCCCATCCCTCCCATGAAGATGCTGCTCCAATTAAATTTTATGTGAACAAAAACATCTGAAGACCACTGCAGTGGTCTACGTTAATTGTGATCTCTGAAGAATAGGATTTTTGACTTATAGATTGAATTCAACTTTTGGTGAGAAAACAGTTTTGCTTTTTTTTTCACTTATCACAGGACATAATTATTTTATCTTGTGTTGAAGTGTTTGAAAGTGTGTTTATATTTTCTAACGTGTAAAAATAAATGGTATCGGCCTTAACAACTTGCCACTTGATGACATTTTGGAGAAGTTGAAAGTAAATGAATATGGACAAATACATCGTTAAATAGCTCAATTTCTCACCTGGAAATGTGGACAGCTTGGTATACTTAATATTAATGCATTCTTTTGCACACCTGTTATTGCCAATGTTCCTGCTAATAATTTTCCATAACCTGTATTAATGTTTGAATATTACTGGATAAGTTGTATGAAGATCTTCTGGAGGATCAGCATCATTTTTTCAAGGAAATAAATACGCAGATCCCTATTAAGAGCAAACTTTAATGTCTCTAACTTATGACTGTGAAATGGTTGATAGGAAATAGAATGAAAAGTTTAAAGTTTCTTTATCTACTAATTGAGCCATTTAATTTTTAAATGTTTATATTAGTCAGATAACCATATTCACAATGGAAACTTTAGGTCTAGTTTCTTTTGATAATATTTATAATATAAATCAATCTTATTACTGAGTGCAAATTGTACAAGGTATTTACATGTACAACTTCATATAACTGCAATGAATATAATTTTGAACTGTTTAACACTTTTTGTTTTTTTTTTGCTTATTTTATTGGAGTATTATTGAAGATGTGATCAATAGATTGTAATACACATATCTAAAAATAGTTAACATAGATCAAGTGAACATTATATTGCCATTTTAAATTCATATGGACTTTAGAAGAAATATACTAATAAAGAGCACTTGTTGGGAATTTAGGGCGTTAAACTTTTTACCAAGTACAAAAAACTTTAAATTTACTTTATTATTTTGCTTTAGAATCCAACTAATAAAGTTATATATTTATAAAATTGCTGTAAGTCAACAAAATATAATATTGTCTTTTTAATGTTAGTGATCCACCCGCCGCAGCTTCCCAAAGTACTGGGATTACAGGTGTGAAAGTCTAACTTTTTTTTACTTATATATTTGATACATATAATTTTTTGGCTTTGAAACTTGCAACTTTTAGAACAAAACAGTCCTTTAAATTTTGTACTGCTCAATTCTTTTTTTGGTTTGTATTGTCTTTAATATAATAAAAGTTATTACCTTTACATATTATCGTGTTTTTTGATGACTCATCAATTTTGTCTATTAAACATATTTCCTTAAATTATATGGAATTAACAATTATTTTTATATTCAACAGTTACTTATCAAAAGACAGAAATTTGATACTCTTCCTATAGTTTAATCTCACACTCTTGAGGCTAAAAGTGTAAGTTCAGGTTCAACAGAAAGGCTTTAATATAAAATTATCTAAATTTAATTAAATAATGATGAACTTTACATTAATACAAGCTCCTGAAAAGCACATATAACCTACAGATGTAAATATAAAATATAAACTTTAAGGAACAAAAACGAAATACACAAAGGAAATATATAATTTATAAAACATATACTGTTACTTGTCAAAAATTTTGAAAGGGCATGACATAGTTACAGTAGTATTTTTCATACTTGTTTGAGCCCAAAATCAGTACATACATATTAATATACCACAGAGAAATGGTGGTATAAAGGAATAAATGGGAGTTCATGTGCAAGAAGGGAAAGATACTTAAGGAGAGGTGAGTTTCACTTAGCTTCAACTAATCATGTCTTGACCAGTTTATTGGAAACTCCTGGCTTAGATAATACTAATTTTTCTCATGGGTCCAGTATAGGGAGCCTATGGGCAGAGGCCAATGTATCTTAAACAGATACACAGACAATGGAAAACAAAGGTATTATCTGAATGGGATTGAGCTAAGTTCGGAAAGAATTCCTAGGCAAGACTAATTTGTGCTGGTTGGCTAAGCACAACTGGCCTGTTAAGAGGTTAGGACCGTCACAGAATATATATATAGTAGCTTGTGAAGCAGAGCTGGATGGAATTTTGCCCTGCAGAAAGCACATTGGCTTACTTAAGGTGGGGGCTCCCTTGTGAAAACATTTAGGATTGAAGGAAGATCTGATTTTGGATGGAGTTTAGATTCTGTAGGAAAGGCAGTAGGGATTATTGTCAGTTCTGTAATAGATTGTGCTGGGTGAGGCAAATCACCCAGGTTAAAGGATTGGAGCTTTTTTTTTTTTTTTTGTCTGAGATGGGAAAAGACTCTGGGAAAACTAACTACTGATGCCTAAATTACATGCTAGATTATGGTAAAAGAGAAAACCAGAAATAAAAACATGGTTGAGAGCAAATAATTTAATGAGAGTGGTTCTACTTGGATTTCTGCCCTATGCCTTAGATTTTGTGGCTTTCTAACTCTGAAGGCATTCAAAAAGGACAAAGGAGAACGAAGAAAGAAATAAGGTAAGAAAAATAAGAGAATATATAACAGTCGACTTTAGATGAGAAAACACCAAACGCTCAAATATTGTAAAACAGGAGGCTATGCCCAATAGCAATTGTACGCTGTAATTACCTAAAGTTTATACAAATTCCTTTTAAAAGGACCCTCGGGGTTGTGGCAATAGCTTAAACTGTTACAAAATGTCAAAACAAGCAGAATAAACCAAATCTCCTATTCCTAAATCGCTCCAGAGGGTTCTCGAATCCCCAAAGACAGAGGTTTGCAAGATCTCAATACGCACATTTGCACTTTCATCTGGCCCATAGCGCCAGCCTATCAAAAACAGTACATGGCTTTTCTCTTTCAAGAATGCTGGAACTTTGGGGCTTACAAAATATTAAATCATTTGCCCTTATTCGAACGGGCGGCTTTCCTCCTAGGTTTATAGTGCTGACACCTGAGACGTGGCTCCATCGCGACCATCAGAGGTGTATGGCGGGACGTAGGGCGGCCAGGGACCATGAGACAGAGTGCAGAGGACGAGCGCACGGCTGGCAGTGACAGGTCGCGACCCAGCTTCTCGCGGGGAGCAGAAAGGCACAGAAGTCCGGGGACAGGTCGGGACACCCCCAGCTACCGCCCTGCGACAGTCGCCCACAAACCCAACGACGTCCGCGCAGGCGCACTGCGCCGGTGCGCGGTGCGAAGGCGTCACCGGAAGTGTCCCGCGGCGCCCCGGATGCGACCGGGAAGCAGCGGTTGCCAGGGCGACGGGAGCTTTCCGGAGCTGCTGGTACTCCCGATTGGAGACGTAGAACCGTTACTTGTCGCGGGCCTTAGCGGCCACCGTGACCCTCTAGGAGGTCCCACGATGTTCTTCTACCTGACCAAGAAAGTGAGTTTCCCGAGGGGTGTCCTCGTTTCTCCGCTCTTCCCGCAGCCTGCGGCGATTCCCGCTGCCTTCCCAAGAAGCCCTGCGGCTTCACCAGGTCCCGATCGCGGCTTCGCCGTCCCGCAGCCATCCTTCCCGCCGGGTCCAGCCTCCGACGTCCTCCTGCGGTTCCCAGAGCCGCGGACCAGTCCTTGGCTGAGCCTGCAGCCCAGTCGCAGTACTCTCCCTGGCCCTGGCTAGGTCCTTTTGGGTGGCTTCAGGGTAAATCGACACGTGCTACCCTGTCTTTCCTCTTCCACTTGTTGCTGATCCATGTGATTTATAAACTCTTTGGATCACTACGAGCGGTTGGGGAAGAGAAAAGAAGTAGCAATAGGATAGCCTACGTATTGTGTGGGTAAAAAGGAATAGGGACGGGTGGTATTTATACCCTGTCCCCGCCCTCCCTTTTAAAAATCCATCTGGTGACTCTAGCGTTGGCTTCCTCCACAGTCATTAACCTTCTCTTTTGCGCACTTCTTTTCCTCTTTCCCAAATGGTAGAACCCGGGTCAGTCCAGGGGACCATGCTCATTTTCACAGCAGCTCACTTTTTTTTTTTTTTTTCCCGCAAGACCGTCCGTTTTTCTTCTTGGAAGATTTTCTTCAGCCTTCTGTAGACTTACTTCCCAACTCCTTCGAAAGTTGTTAGTATGGCTGTGATTGCTTTTACAGATATCCATTCCCAATAAAGTGAAGCTGAAGTGTATATCCTGGAACAAGGAACAAGGGTTCATAGCATGCGGTGGTGAAGATGGATTACTGAAGGTTTTGAAATTAGAGACACAGACAGGTAAATGAGTGCAAGCATACATATTTGAAATTGGTAGAAAATTGGCTAATGTTATTTGTTCAGTGCGATTTACTCATGGTATCTGTCAATATTCAATTCCGATTGTTTTAAAGGGAAACCCACCTAAACATTTTATGGTATTTTCCTGGAGTATCTTTGCAATAAAGTTCAGATAATGTTGCATGTAAACATCAGATCGTTTTTTGCTGAGTTATTAATGGAAAATGAAAAATAATGAAGAATGAAAATAAGTCACTGTTATGCTATTTCTAATTGGTGTACTATATTATTAGGAGTCTAATGAAAATCTTGTGGGTCAACATTTCAGTAAGAAAATCTGGCAGATTGGCTGGGCACGGTGGCTCACGCCTTTAATCCCAGAGCTTTGGGAGGCTGAGGTTGAGCGGATCACGAGATCAGGTGTTTGATATCAGCCTGCCAACATGGTGAAACCACGTCTCTACTAAAAACACATAAAATTAGCTGGGCATGGTAGTGGGCATCTGTAATCCCAGCTACTACGGAGACTGAGACAGGAGAATCATTTGTGCCGAGATTGCGCCACTGCACTCCAGCCTGAGTAACGGCGAGACTCCATCTCAAAAGAAAAAAAACAAAGAAAATTTGGCAGATTATTTACATATCTCTGTCATCCTTTCTGCTTATCAGATGCATTAGCGATTATTCACCTAGTGTCCAAAAACAGAAAATGGGATATGTTTTACATTTTTGTTAGTAGATCTCTTGTCTATGCAGCTTGATTTCTTTATCTAGTGCTCTGGAATCACAGCAGACAGCTTCCCACTTCTTTAGCTTTGCTACTGCTGCGCTAGATTGAGGATCTAGATAGGGTAATTGGAGTTAAATCTCAGCTCTGCCACAAGACGACTGAATGACTTTCAACGAGTAGCTGAGGATTTTACTACTTTTGTTTACTCTTCCTTAAAATGAAAATTAGGGGGTTAAACTGAATTACATTTTTGGATTCCTTACAACATTGCTTCTCAAACTGTGTTAGGTATAAGAATCACTGGAAGAAGTTAAGATGGATTTCATGCTCTACCCCTCAACAAAAGACCCTGGATGAGACCTTCCATTTTCGAAAATGAGAATTTCCATTTTTAGTGATGGCTGAGTTGCTGGTCCTCAGACCCCACTTTGAATAGCATTACCTTACAGCTTTGAATGTTATATGAGTAATAAATACTTATTGACTGTTTTCCATATACTTGGGTGTTTAACCTTCACAATCTTATTTGACTTAACAATAAAGATCTTGAGCAGTAGGTGTTCTAGGTGAGAAAATTAAGGCTCTGAGCAGTTAATAATTGTACTAGGTCACACAGCCAGTAAGTGGCAGAGTAAGGATGTGAAACTAAGTTTGTCTTACATTCAAATCCTTGTTTTTAACCACTACACAAAGGGCTAGTGGACAGCCTAAGTAAAGAAGATAGTAATTGTTTTGCTGTGGTAGGTTAATTTTATGAAATAAAAGGCAGATTTGGAAGATAAATACTTAAGTACCAATTAAAGTTTGGCTTATGCTGTTTTATAGTTCAATCTGTCAGTGCTTTAGTTTTTAAAACTGTGTTAAAAGAAAGTTTCTTAAATGTATATGTAGATGTGTGTGTGTCTGTATATACATACTTTTGCTTACAGTATGTAGCAAGTTTTAAAATACATTAAGAAATGCGTTCATTTTGTTTAATGTTGAAGGCTTTTTTTTTAAAAAAACATACTTTTTTTTCTACTCTGTCCTTTTGATGAGCTGTGGCTACAGTATTCTTTGAAATTAGCAAGATGGGAAGTCGATTCTTGGGAGGTTTGGAAAATGGAGTAAAGTATTTGTTTTGGAACTTAATGATTATGAATTGTGCTGAAAGAGATAAATATGAGAAATATGACTGGGAGATTCTAACAAGATCAATATATTGTATTTAATACAAATAGTAGTGATTCAGCAGATCCCTCCAGTAACAATCATAGATATTGCATGCCTGTTTCATCTGGAGCACTGTGTTGTGCTAAAGATGCAACATTTTAAGTATAATG